CCGGGACGGGGTGAAAGGGGCTTTGGGTGGGGGACGAGGGGCAGTAGGGGTGGGGGCACAGGGCAAGAGGCTTTGGGTGGGGGTCAAGGGGCACAAGCAGGGCATCCTGCCATGTACCCCTTGCCCTCATTTTGTTTCTCTGCCTTGCAGGCAACCCGGCACCTTCCGAGGTAGGCACTGTGGTGTTTTTCGGCACTCCGGCCAAAAAACGTTGCCTACCCCTGGTCTAGCCTCTGGACGCTCAGCCTCCCGCCCACGCGCCAAACGGAGCGCACAGACCCTCGGAATCAGGCCTGTGCGGGTCCCCGGGGGCCAGGACACGTGGCGGTGGGGAGTGGTGGCAGTTAATACCGCCAGCCCCGCAGCCAGCGCCGTGCCCGCTTCCCTCCGCCAGGCCAGGGTGGGGCCGTGCCCCTGCCGCCCAGCGCAGCTGGTTCAGGGCTGGCCCGGGCCCCCCGCACTGCCCGCTCCCGCGTGGCTGGGCTCGGGCGGGTGGAAAGGCCCGTGCAGTATGCGAGTGCGGGGATGCACCAGGCCGCTGCCGCCCCAGGTGAGACCCGGCAGGCGACACCCACAAGAAGGGAAATGACGAATAGGAGAGAAGAAGGGCAGCGCGTGCCGGAGGGACGTGACGCACAAGATCAACTCAGTGATGTCAAAGTCAAGCAGGGGCGGGGCGGATGCGGGGTAGGAGAGGCACCTCCCACGCAGGGGGAGGGCGTTGCCGTGACGCAAGTTCTTCCCGGCGTGCCCTGCGCGCCGCGGAAGCGGAAGCGGGCACTTCCGGCGGCGATGGCGCGAGTTCCCCGCGTGCTGCTCATCTTCGGCAGCTTCGTGGCCGCGGTGGGGGCGGTGGTTTACCCCATCTACGTGCTGCCGCTACAGCAGATAGAGCGCTACAGTGAGTGGCCCCGGGGGCTCCGCCCGGCCAGCGCGGTGCAGCGGGACGCCCCGCCCCGCCCCGCCCGTCGCTTCCTCGGGGCCACTGGCCCCTCTCTGTGCGGGTCGGGGGAAGGGGGCGCTGGCGGCTCCCGGCTCTAGTCGGAGAGGGCGAATCCCTGCCTGAGGACACGGCTGCGCCCAGATTTGCCGCGTCCCTGGCGGGCACGGTGGGTGGCACCGAAGGGGAGGCCAGGGGGTAGACGGGCGTGCAACTCCTGGCTGTGCCTCCGAGCCTGTTCTGCAAAGCACCACACTTACAGCTAGAGAGATTGGTTGCCCGCAACTGGAAAAATAATGTAACTGGTAGTCGGCTTTTTTTGGCCAGAAACATCCCAAATAAATGCCGCGTGCACACGTGCAGCCGCAGCTGGCACATGCAGCAGCTAAGAAAGTAGCCTGGCAGTTTGGAGAGCAGTGTCCTGCCCTGCCAATAAGTCTGCTGGGAAGGGGCATGAGGGTACAGATGGAGGCCAGGGTGGTGAGGGAGGGAATGGGGCAGTGAGCGGGACCCTGGGGCTGGGAGCAGGGTGGAGTCACAGGTGAGTCGTCCATGGGAGGCATGTGCCCCCTTCCCC